GAGAATAATAATTTCTGAAGTAAGTGTGAGTGGTTCTTGCCACAACAAACATTTGCTGGGTTTGCTGGGGTCTCGCTTAAACCAGCCTAAGCTAGTTCTGAGTATTAGCCAGTAGTGTTGTGAATTTAATCAAAATAAAACCAATATGGATAATATGAATTATCAAATCGCAAACTGCTGCAGCGGCGCTTTTCCCGGGTTCAGATATCAGGGCTGTTATTGGTCCCTTCACGATCGGATATAGATCTTTATTGGCTACTGAAGTGCCGTCAAAGGTTTGAATATCAATTCAAACTCAATTTACTCAGTAACGAACTATGATTTAAAAGTAACGAAGTAGATTATTTTGCTTAATTTGTACTTAAGTACAAGTAAAATACAGCTTTAAAAATATACTCAAAAAAAGTACAAGTACCTGAAAAAACTACTTAATTACAGTAACGTGAGTAGTTGTAATTCATTACCTCCACCACTGCTGTCTGGCAGAAGGCACATCAAATGAGCTGGCAGAGAATAATAATTTCTGAAGTAAGTGTGAGTGGTTCTTGCCACAACAAACATTTGCTGGGTTTGCTGGGGTCTCGCTTAAACCAGCCTAAGCTAGTTCTGAGTATTAGCCAGTAGTGTTGTGAATTTAATCAAAATAAAACCAATATGGATAATATGAATTATCAAATCGCAAACTAGGGATGCACCAAATATTCGGCAACCGAAATTATTCGGCCGAAAATAGCAAAAAAATGTATTTTGGTGTTCGGCCGAATAAGCGAAAAGGCCGAATAATATGAACCGAACAATGACGAACGCGATCAAACAGAGGCACGCGCTAATGCAGCAAACATGTCGACGGTGTGAAAGTATTTAAAACTTTCAGAGAAAGATGCAGAAATCATTACACAGACAGCGAGAGACTTAGTGCTGCATCAAGTCTCCGATGAGAAGAAGAGGCTAATGTTGGTCAAATTGGGATCTGTAATATATTCTAATGTTTTAAAAGAAGTCTCTTCTGCTCAGCAAGGCTGCCTTTCTTTGTACAGTAAAAACTACATGCCTGATTCAAGTCTCAAAAATGGCCCAAAAATATTATTTTACTAACTTAATAATTTTAAGCTAAATTGTGCTTTGTTGGTATAATGTCTGCTAGAATGTTAAAAAATGTTCAGTGTTAAGTAAATATTTTTTCATTGTTGTTTTGTAATTGATTTTTTATTTGAAAAGCGGGACAAAACAGTAAAAAGCACATTTTGGTAATTGAATTGATGCAATTGTGAAAAAAATGGCAAAATAGGTCTACATGGGGGGAAAAATGTGAAAACCCGTATTCGGCCCAGTGTTTCATTTTGTTCGGCTTCGGCCTAGAATTTTCATTTCGGTGCATCCCCGTTCAATCATTAGTTAATTATCCTCAGTGTGCTCACCTGTCTGCCTCTCGTTATCTGCCCTATAAGTTCCTGTCTCTTGTATTCTAGTCTTGTCGGTTATTGTGAATGTTACCCCGAGTGTGTGTGTCTACATTAAAAGTATTATTGGAATCCTTGTCGTCCTGCCTGCCTCCACACACGTGACAATTATAACATGCATTTGTGAACGCAACATACGCCAGGCATCTTCCTTTACTTGTAATGAGAAGCGGTTTTAAACCGACTGTTGTCAAAAGAGAACCTTAGAACATTCACCTTAGGACATCCGTAAATATTAGCTTTGTAATTTTACAGTGGAACTATAAATATAATATACTGTACTGTTTTTTTCACCTGTTCTATTATGCACCACTGAAAAAAAGTCCAATCACTTATAAAGGTAATAGCACACCTCTCCTCAGCAGGCCGCAGGATTTGAGGTATCATTCATGTCTGTAGCATAAACGGTTATGCGCTAAAGTTTGAATAATAGTAATTTTGCCTTAGCAAACACCACTAATGATGCCGTTCGCCAGGTTTTTCAAGAATAGATGTGGAAAATCTGCACGTGCAATGGAGCACAAGCTCACACCTGGTTATGGGTGTGAAAAGGTTTCTGAGAAGCTGCGTTGGATTTGGTGTGTGTGGTGTATGTGTGTGTGTATGCCGTTCCCTCGAGTCTCCGCCGTTTCTCCAGTGTGCAGACGTGAATCAAAGGAGCCATTTTCCTCGCAATTTTCTTTACTGTTTCATCCGTGTGTTTTTCTCCATGACAAATCCAACAGAATTAAAAATAATCCAACAGGAGCCATATGTTAACGCCATTCTATATTCCTAACCACTCTAACAGCTGTGGGATGGGTTTGCTGTGACTTTGATGGACAGCAGGCGTGTTGTGACCCCTCGCTCGAGGTACTGAGATGCTGTTTGCACAGAGATTCTCGCATCTGCCCTCACTCGTGGCTGATGTGTTTTTGCTCGGCTCACATGCTAAGGGGTGGTTTCACTCAGGTCATGGATATCTTTCAGGTAATATTGGAGTCAAACATCAGGGCCTCCAAGTCTGTCTATGTCTGATGGCGTCGGATGTCTGTTATGGCTGAGTTTCTCAGGGATCTGGGCTGTAGGCTAACTCACTTAAAGCTGAAGTGTATACTATCTGCTCCACTAGCATCACCAAATGCAATTGCAACAAGAAAGAATGCTTCCCAAAGTGAAATTTCACTGGTATTGGAATTGACTGCTAAAATTGTGTTATTGTGACTATTCAAGTACACTATTTTGCTTCTGATAATATCGATATTATTGATGTCATGGGCAGGTTAATTGATGCTCGGTGACTATTTGTTTCATGTAAAAGAATAATTTGTAGTACTAAATTTTAAGTTATTATAGGAATATTTCACCCAAAAATTAAAATTGGTTGGAAATTGACTCGCCCTCAGGCCAGCCAAGATGTGGATGAGTGTGTTACCTAATCAGAACAGATTTGGAGAAATGTATCATTACATCACTTGCTCACCAATGCATCCTCTGCAGTGAATGGGTGCCGTCAGAATGAGAGTCCAAACAAATAATAGGCAAGTAATCCACATATCAGCTGTTTGGACTCTCATTTTGACGGCACACATTCACTGCAGAGGATCCATTGGTGAGCGTAACGTAATGCTACATTTCTCCAAATCTGTTGTGATGAAGAAACATCAATTAAAATATCTGTTTTAATGCTTTCATATTAGCAAGCTGCAAGACCATGAAGGATCATGAAATTAGTCTAATGTTATTCTCTTTAGGAAACTTAATGGCCAACAAAGCACATTATGTTTATAATGTTGCATAATTGTCTTACAGAATTGCATGTTTCTTGAATGTATTAACTGTTAGTGCTGAATGATACAGTACTAATGATACAGTATTTCAAAAAACAAATGCTTGCTGCAATTAGGGCAAAAGCTATACATGCTGGCACTTTTAGAGTTTAATGGGATGTGAAAACTGTTCCGTGTTGAATGCACACTGGAGCTTTGAGAAAAGAATCTGACCAGCTTTCTGAATTCTAGTTCTGGGTGAATACCATTGTTTGTGCCAAGGGCGATTCTTGGATCTCAGTCTTAAAGGGACTCAAGCCCCCTACGTGAACGTCTCGGTTACGTATGTAACCCTCGTTCCCTGAAGGAGGGAAACGCACCCGAAATTGCTCTTTTGGGGGAAAAAGCTCTTTTAGCGTGCTGAGGCGCACAGGGGAGATGATCATTTGCAACACAATCAGGGGGTAGTGCAGCCTGATGTGTGCAACCCACTCGACACGGGAAACCACCACCGCTGAAGCGCCGTCCGCCAACACGAAGAGCTCTCCAAGAGCGTGCTGAACTCGTTCAGTCTTCTCTCCGTAGAGTAGTCAGGAGCGGAACGATGTGATCGCTCGGCTCCGAAGCGAAAAGCTGAATATGCGCTGCACCTGCTGCCTACTTATACTCACGCTGTGATCAGCAGCAGCTGGATGCAATAATCGCATGCCAATGTGCATTGGCTCGTTTAGTTTACACTCGAAGTAGATTGGTCCCTCTAAGCGAGATCCCAATTTCGTCGGTCCTCCGACGTGACGTCGAGAGTGACCGACTGAAAGGGAATGTGAGATTTTGGGGCTCTGAGGAATAGTCGTCTTTTCAGCACGAGAGGTCACAAGGTCAAATCTTGCTTGATGGAAAATTGTTTAAATAAACTAATATAACTGACATGACGATGGCAAGGTTTCAGGTTTGATTCAGCATTTCATTTGCATTTTTTTAATGTAATGCAGCATTTGTTTTAGAGAAGAAGTCAGTTCATTATTTTTTATGTTGTACAGGTTATGTGCTTGGAGAGACTAGTTCAACAACTTTCAGGATTTCTTTTTTCTTTTTTTTTGCAAGGTCATGCAGCTGCCAGCCTGAACATTTATAATGAATCATAAGTGATTCCAGGCTTTATTTAATGGTGCTTAAGCCCTGTCTTTCCTATTAGTCCCCTTAGAAATCTTAGATTAAGTTGGCTCTCAGGTGAACGTTTTCTCAGAATAATGGCTCTTAAATAATTTTATCCATTCCAGTGAAAAAACATATTTTAAGAATGTTCATTTGATTTAAAAACATGGTTGTTATGATTATCTCGACCTTTGCTGGGAGAGAAATGTAGAGCCTGGACCTCATGGAACATTAATTGAATACCGCTGGATGGTGGTTCATGCTCTGTTAGGACTTATTATTTTGTGTTTTTCTGCAGGGATTCACAAGGATTTTAAATAATTTGTAACATATTGAAGCATAAAATTAAGTGTAATTATCTTGGAGGAGAGGCGAGAACTCAGCCAACCATACATTAACACATGCTGAAATTATGACCTTCACATTCTTACATAATCAGCTTCTCATACACATGAGCCAAGAGAGGAAGCTAATGAATATGTACAGAATGAGGATTTACAACTATTATTTATTCATGGGGAAATCATCATTATTATTATACATATTTATTACGTGAACTTTTATATTACATGAGGTGGTCAATCTCCCATCATGTACCTTGAAACATAAGCTTTTCTTGCCAATCTTTTTCTGTCAGGTACCGTTCTTGTGGAAAACATGCAGATCAATGGTCGTGCTCAGGATCCAGATAGAACCATCTCCTTGACGCTGCTGGACAACTATGATTACTGGGTTATCCTTGACTCTGCGCTGCAGAGACTGTATCTCAACAGCACTGGACGAGTGCTGGACCGAGATGTGAGTAAACAAACACACACAATCTGTCAAAAATAACATATTGCTACTGTTGTCCTTTGACTGGCACAAATGGATATATATATTTATATGGCAGTCTGCCTGAAGCCTCTAAGACAAACAAAAGCTCTAAAATAAATTCTGTCCCAATTGGCAGCAAAACAACACGCGTCACGGTAATGAGATCATAGCAGCCACACAGAACTGCAACATTTTCTTAATCAGTATTTTACTCTTTCCAATTAAATATTTTGACATCCTCGAATCAAGATAAATATACTTATGCAAAATTGCATGAGATATTAAAGGGTACATCGGATGCCCATTTTCCACAATTTGTTATGATTGTTTAGGGTCTTCATGAAATAGTGTAAAAACAACACCCTTTTTATCTTTTCAAAAACAGCTCTGTTTACGGCGACTCGTTTCAGTGCATGTCTCTTTAAATGTTAATGAGCTCTGCTCACCCCGCCCCTCTCTTCTGTGGAAGAGGAAAGGCGATTTGCAAATAATCATAAAAAATATAAAGTGTGAGACTTTTTGAGGTGCAGCTGGATTACAAACAGTTTTAGCAAACACCATGTAAAAGTGAATTTTGCATCCGATGGCCCCTTTAAAGTCGCCATGAAATCAAAATGGACAATTCTTAATGGAATATTGCAGTGTTTATTATAAATGATTTATCCGTGCACATCATTCATTTTTTTCAATTTCATGCACCCTCATAATCTTTAAGCAAAGAATGGCTTGCAACGACATCTCTTTTCTCTGACAACATGTTTACCGCTGCGAAGGTGGGACAACCTGTCACTCAACAGGGAAGAAAAGATGATCTCAACTTAATTTTCATGCCGACTTTTCAGAGAATATTTCTTAAAGATTTTTTTGTTTGTTTGTTTGTTTGTTTTAGTATAAATAAATATAACAAAATGTAATGTGGTTTATGATTGAAAATAATTTGCCATTTGTGTACAAATATTTGCTTCTCAAATAAATGTATTGTATTTAACAGATATGTAGACATAGTGTTAATTATAATTATTAATTAATCAGTCAGACAGTAATGATCCTTTCTATTATTATTGTTGTTGTTTGTTACTGATTTTGTTGTTGGTATTGTTTTTTACCAGAAAACAAGACCAAAACATTTTTATATAAAGTATTTACAGTCATTTTAGATTCATATAATGCAAGTAAATAAGATTTTCTTTGACTTTATCTTTATTAAGATATTTTTTTATAATGTTTTTGGATGTATTCGACTGTGCTTTCAAAGTGCAATTGACTGCTCTACAGTACAAGAACAGCCAAGTCTTCCATCAAAAGGCAGGAGATTTTACTCCCACAGCCGCAATATGAGCATAGCGATTTCTCCAATTCCTTTTTCCACAAGTGCTTCATCTCCTCCCTCTTATATTGTCTGTCTGTACATTACACCAATCTTCTAAAAAGAGGCTTGCTAGCCCCACACATGTGTCTGTGTGCTTGTCTGTGAAGCATTGTGTTAGTGACAGGTCTTTTATGATACTATTGGATAGTGATTAGAGGCCATATCCTCCTCCTCTTCGTCCTCGTCCTCTTTACGAGGCTTTGTGGGATTCAGCCACTTCACTCAACAGCTACACCGTTTGTTTTATTCAGCGTACTTGAGGCCAAACACCTTATTTACCCAAAAGAAAATGAGCAGAATTGACATTAATCCTGTTTGCATTGTTACGTAAGTTATGTAATCTTGTACATTCACACATCCAGGCTGATTGGCTGTATTGTTAATGCACTTTGTTACAGCTGGGTACCCTAGTGTTATTGATCACTAGCCATAGCTTTTGAAAATATCACAAATGGTTAGTATTACCGTATATCACCTTGAATAAATGCTGCCATGAATGTATGTCACATCTCATCTGCAGGGGCCTTGTTTTATGATTCATGGTTTGCTTTGTACTAAAGCAGTAATCTACAGTTATTTTTGTTGTATGAAAGTATGTTTTCTTTATGTTCTATAAACCGCTGTATATGTGCTTTCTTCCAGCCACCCAGTTACATCACCACAATCGTGGTTCAGATTCAGTGCACCAATGAGCTGGTGGGAACAGTTATTCTGCATGAAGTACGGATAGTGGTGAGGGACAGAAATGACAACACACCTCGTTTCCAGCAGCCTCGTTACTATGTATCAGTTAATGAGGTGAGGCCTGATCACTTATGCACTGCCTCATTTACTTTCTGTCTCTGTCTCTGTCAATTCAGTTTCATTTGAATGTGCATAGTATGCTAATTTTCTATATAGACAAAATGTGCAGTACAACAGAGCATTGAGGTGGGCATTATATCTGACAATGCAATGTGACGAATGAACCAGTAAGGAAGTACAAAAACAGTTTTGAAAGTTCAAACTTTTGGGGTCAGTAACATTTTAAATATTATTAATATTATAGTTATTATTATTTTTTATTAAATAAATTAATGCTTTTATTCAGCAATGATGCATTATTATGTTTAATTATGTTTGATGTTTAAGTTAGTGAGTGATATGTGTTATCATCCCAAATGAACTAAGAAAAACTACCAATCAAAATTTTGGGGTCAGTAAGTTTTTTTTAATTTTTTTTTAAATAAAAAATAATACTTGTATTTAGCAAGGACACATTAAATTGATCCAAAGTGACAGTGCAGACATTTATAACATTACAAGAGATTTATTTTTCAAATAAAGGCTGTTCTTCAGAACGTTCTACTCATCAAAGAATCCTGGAAGTGTCACAACTATTTTCAACATTGAAAATAATAAACAAAAAAATCTTACCATACTCCAAAATGTCAGAATGTGAGTTTTGTGGTTTTTAGGGTTTTTGAAGTGACATGTGGCCAAGTATAGTGATCCATACTCGGAATTAGTGCTCTGCATTTATCCCATCCTAAGTGCACACACACAGCAGTGAACACACACACACACACCGTGAACACACACCCGGAGCAGTGGGCAGCCATTTATGCTGCGGTGCCCGGAGAGCATTTGGGTGTTCGGTGCCTTGTTTATTCGCATAGCACTGATAAGCAATATCAAGTAGCAAATCTAGGCTCATTGCTGTGACAAACTAATTAATACTCGTTATTAAAAAAGGCTTGAGCTCTTTGATATGTCCCAACTCAACTTCCTGTTTCAACAAAAAATACATCAACATGGGGAAGAAAACTGCACTCACGAATGAAAAGAGAGTAGAGAGTGAAGCGGACACATTGTATAGTCACATGAAATCGTTGTATAGTCTGTTGGCGTGCGCCATCAGTTATTCAGATCTAAAACCATCCCCTTTTGGCATCGGCTCAAAACTATACTTAAAATTATGCAGGCACACACACCCTTGACCCTTATCTCAACAAATTCAGGTATGAGGACTATTTTTAAACTTAATGGCTTTCATTTATTTGGAGTACGTTTGAATATCTTCTGAGAGTGTGTACGTGTTGGGTGTGTAAAAGCTTGGTTTCTTTATGCTTGTCAATCTCTGTCCTCTCCCTGAAGTCAAAAATGCTGTTATCAGGTTAGATTATAGAATTGTAAAAATTATTTTGGCTTCATGCCTAATGTGGGAAAGAGTCTGAAACTGTGTCTTCAGTGATTCAGTGTATGCTTTAACATTGGCTCAGCCTCAGTGTGTTTTGATGTTCTCTAGCAGAGAGCAAATTGCAAGGTACATTGTACAATTGTAGTCACAACAGAAAGACTTTCAAATGGCTGAGTATGGCTTTATAGAAAAACAAATGATGGTTTAGTATGAAACATCTTATCAGTATTTTCACTTATAATTTTGAAAGTCTCTAGGAGCATGAAAGTATACTTTTAAATAGGCCTATATATATAATAGAAATAGCTAAGAAATACAATTACAAACAATACAAACTATTTATTGTAAAATACATTTGACAAATTGAAATAATATAAAAGGATAATATTCAAAAATGAATTGGCTAAAATATAATATCCTACAATTGTTTAATGAGACCTTCTATGAAATAAGAAAGGGAAATTCATTAATATAGCACAGTAGGCTTAATATGTTATTAATCAATTTGCTTTTCAGAAAAAGATAGCAGATGGAAATGCCACCGCAGCTGTAGAATGACTCTAACCTGTTATTATAATATCAGTCGTTTGTATTTGTGTGCAGGCATATGTGCAGGTTTTGCTCTCTCTCTCTCCTTCCATTTTGATTTTAGGTTTTTGTTGTCTTCTCCTTGTCTTTTTCTTTGTATTTTCTTTCTTCCTCTTCTGTCCCTGTCTAGTCTGTCTTCTAAGGGGTTCCAGAAGGAACACACAAACTCACACATACACATTATCTGGGTTAGACGGGTCACATCTGAGGCTTGTCAGAGTTGCTGTGTTGTTACACAAGCATATAGCCAGTGTCTGATGTTTGTCTCATGTGTTTTTTTAATGATATCTCTCCAGCTCTCTCCCGTCGGTACCACCATCTTCACCGGCTTCTCAGGAAACAATGGAGCCATGGACATCGATGACGGACCGAACGGACAGATCGAATATACCATTCGGTACAACCCAAATGACCCGGTACTTCATCTGATCAAACAGACCTTCTGCAGTTACACTCAAGTTCTTCATTGTAATTAATGATTAATTTAAAGCAGTGACTTTATGGGTGCACTTGCAAACTGCAATGTTTTATTTAAAACAGTGCAATCTTTCTCTGTTTCTCTGTCTCAGATGTCAAACAGGACTGTGCGTGTTGCTGGGACTCTGTCTGGTAACATTGTTTTGGCAGAGCGGCTGAACTATGAGGAGAGAACTCGCTATCTAATTATAGTCCAGGCCAATGTAAGATATCCTTCACTATCATACGATGTTGTTCCTTTACTCTTTAATACATTTAAGAGGAGTGTTTCAGGGTAAATACAACTTAAGCTATAGTGGCATGTTGTTGATTACCACAGATAACCCTGAAAATTGTTTGAAATAATGCACTAGAGGTCGACCGATATGGGTTTTTCTCTGGCCGATGCCGATATTTAGAAATCAGGGCAGCCAATGGCCGATATATGATGCCGATTTTTTTGGCCGATTTAAAAAAAAAAAATTATTCATCTCATAAAAGTGAGTTTGAGCAAATGATTATTGCAGGGTACAAGATAGTAATAGTCGTAGTAGCCCAATTTAGTGTAATAATACATGACTCAAAACTTAAGCACCTTCTCAAAACAGTTCTGAAGGATGCTTTTTGTTTATGTTTGCTGACAGACATCAGTGTTTCCCACAGACTGCAAATGAATTCTCTGCCAGCAGGAGGTGCTTTGGGAGCTGGAGATATAGCGGTTTCCCCGGTAATGGCTGTAATCAAATCAGCGCTCCACTCACAAACGCTACTTTATCAGGCATTAGAGGAAAGACGAAATGAAAATGACATCGAAGCTTTTCTGAAGACAGTCGGTTCTTTTCAAAGATACATTCATATAAAAACACTGCATTTTAATTTTGAAACGTGAAGTGCTCATTTTATTCAACGAAGTATAAGCCTTTTGGAAAATCTGTTTGTGGCGGTCAGTTTTGATATTGTGACCAGCCGCCACAAATAACTCAATGTATAGGAAACACTGGACACTGCTATAAGTCAAATGGCTATAGTGATAACAAAAATAAAAGATTTCACACATATTACACAGCCTGCTGCTCATAACTGCTTAAGAGTGCGCTGGCCATGAGTGATGAGATCGTGGATGCTATTGTCGGACCCACACACACATTTCATGAGGAAAGTTAACGTGCACGTTATAATCAGCAGTGTTGGGCAAGTTACTCTGAAAATGTAATTAAATTACTGATTACTCCTTTTAAAAGTAATCACGTTACTGTTCTGATTACTTTATTTGAAAAGTAATTAGTAATTAGTTACATTACTAGTTACATTACTTTTTTCTCCATGAAATTCATGAAATCCCAGCATACACACACCCGATAAGTATTTGTTATTAAAGCATCAACATTCACAGAACACTGTTATTTTTATCTAAAGCAAGCGGCTGCTGCGTGCATGGTTTGGCATGGCAGAATGCCAGCAAAGAGCGCTGCATTTATAATCTCTAAAAGACATCTCAGTTCATCGCAATCTCACAAATCTCTGTTATAACACAATAAATATATGCATAATGAATAGTTCATAATGTCTACAATTCGTGTGTTATAATGAGAGGATTCGTGAACATGCAAATTTCAGCACTGCATTGCTCAACGCTGCAAACACGTGTTATAGCCTAAATAGAAACTCATACGCTTGCACCTGTTAATTGTTTATATTTTATATTAGTTCATGTTGATTTTGTGCAATAGATGAATAACAATTTATTTGTTTCAGATATTTTATGTTTAGATATTTCTATTTTGCGGGAGTCCCGTGAATCATTTTATTCTCCTGCATCCCACGCAGTCACACACTATGCACTCGCCTATCAAGTCTCCCGTGCCACACTCTGTTGCGTCGGGTCTCGTGGGAGCAGGTCTCTAATCCACTGGCACTTGACTCGACAGTGCGTGAGCTACATCCTTTTTACAGTCTAGATTAGAAATCACTGCATTCTGTCAGCAATGTAACGCGACAGTAACGTATAGAGACCTCGCCTTGTAACTATACTCTAATTATAACGAGTTAAATTACTCCATTACTAAAAAGTAATCAAATTACAGTAACGCGTTACTAAGTATTGTGTTACTGCCCAACACTGATAATCAGCCCAGAAGTTTTGTCTGAATGGAACGTGTTTCTACTTTCACATGCAAATGACTTGTTGCACTTATGAATATAATAACTTTCCGGCATCAATTCTAGTAGTGTAAAACGTAATTCCACTTTTGAAACGGTCTGTTTTGCCCTGCCATTAGCTGAAGCTGTGTGTGAACAAGCCGGGGCTGCAGAGTGTGAGCTGCTCCGTCTCACGCAGCCTCAGAGGGAGCTCCGCAACAATGCTTAGGTGCCCACCTGTGTGCCTGCCTATAAATCGGCCTAATTTGCAGCACAATCGGCCAATGTCGATTAAGTAAAAAATGCCAAAAATCGGCCGATTAATCGGCCAGCCGATCAATCAGTCGACGTCTACTTACAGTACAAAAGATTGATGATGTTTTTTGGGCAAGGCCCACTGCTGAGATAAATGTTAAATACAAAGTTTTGAAAATACAGCCACAAAGCTTAAACATTATAGATGTTCATCATGAGACTAGTGTGAAATAAAATCACTTAACTAACCATGTAACTCCAGGTAAATGTTGTTGGTAAAAATGTGCTCATTTATTTATTTGTTAGTTTGTTTTTTATTTATTTATTTATTTGCATTTTTGTGTTATTTATTTGTTTAGCTACAACTTTTTTTTTGTTCATGTGAGTTCATTTGAGTTCATGTTTGTGAGTTTGCATTTGAGGGTTTACTATACGAGTTTAAATGTGTACTTCCAAGTTTTTAATTTTATGAGTTTATAAGTTTCATTTTATTCTAGCAAGTTTACTTTTGGGAGTTTGATAGGTTGCATTTGTGGGTTAACTGGTTTGAATTTGTATTTGTGAGTTTATGGGTTTGAATTTGTACTTGCAAGATTACGTTTTGCAAGTTTTTGCATTTATGAGTGTGCATTTGAGAATATTTGAGTTTGCTTTTGATGGTTTATTGTGCATAACACATAAGATCACCTACCCAGAAGTACACCTAGAAACAATGCTAAAAGTAAGTTGTTTATATGTTGTTTATAGACCTTAACTTGTTTATAACCCACAACATTGCTTTAAAGTCAGACCAACCCTAAAATGGTCATACACGTGTGCTAGTAATTAAAGGGTTACTGATCTGATCCCTGTAAGGAGTGAGCCATGAGCTGGGAGTACCTTTGGATAAAGATGTCTGCTAAATGACTGCTTAATCTGTAAACTTTACTGTAGATTACAAAATAAATAACCTTGAATTTTTGGTCAAGTTGTCTGGGCCTGTTAGGTTGCCAGTTTGCACAATGCACTTTTTAAAATTCCAGGCACCTCCCTATATCTGTCACTGAATAACCGGCATCCTGATTCACTTCCAAATGCATCCCTCCACCCTCACATGAGCTGCATGCACAACTAGCTCCAAACCTGTCTAGAACAGCATCCCTGTGAGGGTGTCCAGACCCCAGAGGCCATGAGCATGTTTTCATAGAGCCAAATGGTTCAAATAAATGCTCTACATCAAGGCTCAGCTCTCCTTGAAGAAAATTGAATCATTTCAGGATGTGGAAAATGAGGGGGTGGATTTGTTACTGTGTTTTCTCTTTCTCTCTGAAATCGTATTGAAGGAAAAATACAGAACGATGATATGAATAATGCACATTTTATTTAGACCCTGATTGTTGGAAACCGTTAAGTCAATAATTAATTAACCATACTTGGCCACACGTCCTTTCCTTAAAGTTTAGAGATTTACATTACACTACATTTTATGATTCCTACCTGTTGTTCTGGATTCAGTGCTATTAAATTTAAATCTTGCACAATGACAATATTGAAGATCAATTTTATAAGGTCTGAAGTTCAAAGTATGATATACACAAATGTATTTGTGCATGTTTATTTTATTTTATTTTTTTTTATTTTTTTTACTAAAAGCTAAATAAAAATCACCTTTTGCTTGTTCTGGCAAAATGTAAAGTTTAAATATTAAAAAATATCTAAAGGTCTTAAAAGTATCTAAAGGTCTGTATCTATGGTAACATGGCAGCTTTTTTTCCAGGACCGGGCTCCGTATCCGGGAACTCGTCGCACGGCAACCACTACTCTAACTCTGGATGTTTCGGATGGAGATGATCTGGGTCCCATGTTCCTCCCATGTGTTCTGGTCAACAACACACAGGACTGTAACCCTATCACATACCGTCTGGCCATTCCTGAGCTCACTGACCCGGTAAGAACTTGGAGAGAACCTCAGAGGTCTTTTAATGCTGAAGCTGGATCTTGAAACAGGTAGCTTTTTTTTTTTTGATCTACCAGCTCTTACAGACTTGACCAGGGTTGATCTACTAGGTTGATCTACTGTTGGACCATCTAATGATCATGGTTTCTAGCTGGTCCCAGTTGGATATTTTGAAACCATTTAAAACCAGCTGCCACCTTAAAATTTTACCTGGATTATCGAGTAAGGATGTTGTCAGAGACTGTTATTCACCACAAGCTACAACCATGATTCTGTAGTCAGCATCTGGCATAGCTAGGTATAAAGGCAGGAAGATGTCTTGTCTGAAACACTTCACCTGTGACCCACTGAGCCGGACCTGAGGCTATGCAGTGGGCAGCCCTGGATAGATGCTCTCTTACACTCTTAAAAATAAAGGTGCTTCACGATGCCATAGAAGAACCTTTTTGTCTAAATGGTTCCATAAAGAACCTTTAACATCTGAAGAACCTTTCTGTTTCACAAAAAGTTATTTGTGGCGAAAGAAGGTTCTTCAGATTATAAAAAGGTAATAAAGAGATGGTTCTTTAAAGAACCTTTGACTGAATGGTTCTTTGTGGAACCAAAAATGGTTCTTCTATGGCATCGCTTGAAGAACCTTTTGAAGCACCTTTATTTTTAAGAGTGTAGAGAAAGACTTGAGTGCTTGAGAACAGGGTATGTGCATGACATTGTGCCTTGAACTATAAAGAAAGAAAAAAATAATAATTAATAATTCAGCCACACACAGCAAGCCTATGGACCACTCATTGATTGTTTGCTACCGTTCAAAAGTTTGGGGTCGGTAAGATTTTTTTTTGTTTTTGAAAGAAGTCAATTATGACCACAAAAGTTGTATTTGTTTGATTAAAAAAAGTAAAAAGAGTTATATTGCAAAAAAGTATTGTAATTTAAAATAACTTTTTAAAATAATATTTTAAAATGTAATGCGATTTCAAAGCTGAATTTTCAGTGTCACATGATCCTTCGGAAATCTTTTTAATATGCTGATTTGGTACTCAAGAAACATTCATATTTTTGTGCAAACTGAGCATAATTTTTTACTTTAAAAGAACAGCATTTATTCGAAAAATATTTGTTTGTAACAAAATAGATGTCTTTACTGTCACTATTGATACATTTAATATACCCATTTTTAGAAAATAAAAATGCTTACCTTAAACTTGTGAATGGTATAAAATAAAATGATAAATGGTGAATGGTATAAAAAATTATACATTTATGTTATATAAGCATGTTTTACTGCAGAATTCAGCAATTGAGAGTTTTTTAGAGCCTCCAGTAATTTTTATAATGTAACATTTTGTTACCTTTGTAATATTCATGTCTTGTTTGTGGACACTTGAAGGACATTTTGATGTCTTCACTGGACGTTGTATGGACAAGCTCATGTGTAAAGCTCAGTAATTATGTCATTGTGTTGTTGGTGTTTTGTTGACCCTACACCGGTTAAATGTCAGTCCTTTCATATTTCCCATCACATGCATTGCTCTACTGACCTTTGCTTGGCTAAAGATGAGACTCATACAGCAGGGGCAGGAAGGACAAGAAACGAGGGATTTAGATGAGAAAAAGATGTGGCTGATGAAAGTTAGCTGGTACAGATTGAATGAGATCAGGGACAGGGAGTAGAGACAAAGCGAGACGAGACCCTCAATAAAACCACAGGGTTCACCACCCATCAAAGCCAAGACGTGAAGCTTTGATGAAATCAGACCCCAGTTGAGGTGTGTTTGGGTGGGTAGACCTTTGAGGTGATGGATCATTATGGAACCAAACCACATGGAGACAAAAAGAGAGAGTCCAGCACATACAGCCACGGCTGATCTTTGCTCAGGGGGGACTGCCGTAATTTATGCAAAAAATGTTTTCCACTGCAAACGCTGCACTCCCATCGGCTGCCAATTTCTGCACTGAATAAATGTGCTGCAGATTTGCTTCATTTCGAGCTATTTCACTTTTCTTTTTACATTCTGCCTGCTGTAATTTATGTATTTTCACAGGGACAATCTCTTTTTTGCGTTTCCTGGTGTTCTCTGATTATCTTGAAAATTATAAAGGATTAGTTTGTGAGGAAACCCATTTTACATTTTACATTCATTCTTACATTCAACAGAACAGTGGCTGTGTTTGGAGTAGCACACTACTATTTCTGCAGTAGGCCTGTATAGTATGAATAATGCATATCCACATTTTCTGTGCAAACATAAAATACTATGAACAAATATGAAAACAAATATTTTATTATTACTATTATTCAATTGGATTTTGAGAAAGCAAATAAAATTTTTTTTTAAATTCTCATCAAGGCTGCATTTATTTGATCAAAAAATAAAAACAAAAAAGTAAAAACAATAATATTGGGAAATATTATTGCAATTTAAAATAACTGTTTTGTATTTTAATATATATTAAAATGTAATTTAATCCTGTGATGCAAAGCTGAATTTTCAGGATCATTAGTCAATGTCACATGATCCATGCTCAAGAAACATTTCTTATTATTATCAATGTTGAAAACAGTTGTGGTGCTTAATATTTATGTGGAAGCTGTGAGACTTTTTTTTCAGGATTCTTTGATGTTCTAAAGAACTCTAAATAACAGAACCATATTTATTTGAAATAGAAATATATTTTTTTAAAAACTGTCATTTCTGATCAATTTAATGTGTCCTTGCTTAATAATTATTAAGTAATAATTTCTTATTAAGTTCTCAAAATAATAATAATAATAATCTAACTGACCAAAAACTTTAATTGTAGTGTATCTTTATTTATTTGTTTGTTTGAGATGCTAACTCATCTCATTAACTAAATTAAACATAATGATGATAGGGTCATGTGACAGCAATATAGCATACTACTATTTGAAATAACTATGTTCTGAGTGGGTGCATTATGAAAATATTTTAAACGTTTTATGATACATGTTGTCACATAAACTCATTACCTTGCATGTTTATTTCAACTGTGGCTTTCATCTATCTTTTTATACAGTACAAACTGAAAATTCACATGCTACACATGGTACTGCAGGGATTTCAAGAGTAATATTTTAATAAGTTATTGTAAACACATCCTCTATCAATGCATAATGCGTTATTTTTCAGATAGCCTACTATTTTAAAGCAGCACTACTTTTTCTGTGTTCAAAATTTGCTAAATGTATATAATGAACGAGTACATCATGAATCCATCTTCCAAACCGCGTTTTTGTCTTATTCCGAATCACTATGGTACATTGATAATAAGTACTTATATTTGGACTATTGTAGCCTGGTCGGGTCGTCACCACTGCGGAGTAACACACACCTGCGTGAATCGCCATAGACATAAACTTAGAGAAGTAGCTCCGGTTGGAATGGTCTTCCGCCGGATGTATGCAGTTCTGTTTATTAACCGCTAGAGTGCCAAAAGTTACATAGTGCTGCTTTAAAACAATACTGGCCAGTAGTCAGTGTGTGCTGTGCAGTATGCAGTGAGCATTTTGCTACAATTCCATTCCCAACATAGATTCTCTCTCATTTCCTTTGGCAGGAATAGTGGTAATTAATGAGGTCACATATTTCACAATTAGAGCCGGGATATGATTCGAGAGTCTTTTTCCTGTCTCTAGGCACAGATTAATTGGCCTAATGCCTGCTGGAGGGGGGATTATGGGTAGTTTTAAACGTCTCAGGTGGGCAAGAATTCTGATTTGCTGTGCTCACATATTTAACATTGAGTTCCTGTATTTACGCTGCCATTTTAATGAAGCACCCATCGCAAAGGAGATGCTTCTTATTATCATATCTGTTAGAGGCCGTATTTGTCTGCACGAAATGCACACTCATCTGTAGAGCACAGATTAATACAATCAAGTGTCCCATGAGCTTTGCTTTTAGCCCAGAGGAAAACGTTGTACCTCAGTGGATGCTCTTTCATAGCTTGAGACTTAATGGAGATCTCAAAATGTTTTATTTATGTATCAGCTTTATTTCAGCTGTTTCTCCTACAATTTGGAGAAATAAAAGTAGACACAACGTTGTACTATCTGTTCATATTATTTAATGAACCTGAGCTAATATGAACTAACAGTGAACAGCTAAACTTGCGTTAACAAAGATGAATAAATACTGTAACAAATGTGTTGCTCATTGTTACTTAATGTTAGTTAAAGGAATAGTTCACCCAAAAATGAAAATTTGCTGAAATTGTAATCAGCCTCAGGCCATCCAAGATGGAGATGAGTTTGTTTCTTCATCAGAACAGATTTGGACTAATGTATCATTACATCACTTGCTCACCAGTGGATCCTCTGCAGTAAATGGGTGCCGTCAGAATGAGAGTCCAAACAGATGATAAAAACATCACAATAATCCTTTGTAGCGTGGTTGTAAGAAAAAAAAATCCATCGAGGCATTTTAACTTCAAAATTTTGCCTACAGCTGAAATATGAGTCTTCTATCCAAAATATTGCTTTCTCCAGTCATGCCATCTGAATTAGGAGAGAAATATGCATAGATCAATCATTTATAAGAGAAAACAGTTCAAAAACATATGTTGGTGGATTTGGATGTAAGAGGACAACATGGGATGGACTTTTTCACTGTGTTTTTATGAACTATGGCTAGAATTAATGGTTTAAAGTTAAAACTCCCTTAACTGATGTACTGGAGTGGTGTGTATTACTTGTGGATTATTGTGATGTTTTTATCAGCTGTTTGGACTTTCATTTTGACGGCACCCACCCATTCACTGCAGAGGCTCCATTGGTGAAAAAGTGATGTTTAATTTCTCCATTGCTGTTCCAATGAAGAAACAAACTCATCTACATCTTGGATGGCCTGAGGGAGAATACATTTTCAGCAAATTTTAATTTTCGGGTTAATTATTGCTTTAATGCATAAACTAAAATTAACAAATTAGACCTTATTGTAAAGTGTTTTACCGATTAGACCGATATTTAAAATGATGTGGATTGCATTGTTCAGATTATTTGGTTTTGGAAGAATTTGATGAGAAATGTTTGAGTCCAGACTAGGGTGAAACCATACATATAAAAAGATACTGAAATCATTTAGCCAACTCTGATTTCTTTTTTTGCCCCTATTGTCATTTATTCCTGTCTCCTTTTTTTCCAGAGTAAACTGAACCCTCTGAATGTGACACCTCCCATTCGAGCCATTGACCAGGACAGAAACATCCAGCCGCCCTCCGACAGACCCGGAATCCTGTACTTCATACTGGTTGGTAGGTACTTCAATTCAAGTATTATACACAATACATAATATACATAACTGCACTCTTAACTAATGTTTCCATACATTTGAAAGAGAAACTCAGTTCTTTAATAAATGTGTTATTAGGGTTTAAAAGGATGTGCAAGTTCAGATTGGAAATTCCCTTTTTATGTATTCAATAGCTTAGTATAAATAATGGCATGAATCAGATAATATCACAAGTTCTGTGTCTCTCTCTGTACTGCGTTTCAGGTCAACCTGCTACATACCCAGAATTCTTCTCACTCAACAGGAGCACGGCTGAGCTGCGGCTGCTGAAGCCTGTGGACAGAGAGCTGTACCAGCGCTTCAATCTTGTCATTAAGGTCATTATATCATCATCAGGTTGTCTTCTACAGATAGCTGTGAAGATAGGAGTGGTGTTCATCTAATGCCCTGCTCAGCGCCTCCAAAGGCGTTTATATTTAAGCATCAATAAGTATCATCATTTTTACAGAATTGCTGGTTGAATGTTTTACGACCAGACAAACACCCGATATTAACCACAGTATATTTCTGGAAATATTCTCTTCATATTGTAGCAATATTATCAGCAATTGAACACACTGTCTGTATGTACACGCTATCACTTTGGTTCTGTTTAAAAACCTAGTGAGCTGTTTATTTAGGAAGCATTTTAAAGCATTGCATTCGCTGTCTTGATGCAAAGGATGCCATAAAAGGTACATAGTATAATTATTGTAAAAATTATTGCAAGGCATCATTGCATATATACTTTTGTGGAAAATGCAGTTCCACAGTGCATTTGTGACAAACTTACAAAGAAAGAAATTGAAATGCTCTATCATTATAATTCATTCAGTACTAAAAATATTAACAAAACATACATACTGTTCAAAAGTTAGATATTTTTTTAAGAAATTAGCAAGAATGCATTAAATTGATCAAAAGTGAGTTTAAAGGCATTTATAATGTTTCAAAAGAATATTTCAGCATTTTATAATGCTGTTCTTTTAAAAATGTATAATGGTTTCCACAGCAATATTAAGCAGCACAATTGTTTTCAACATGTCAGAAAGATCATGTGACACTGAAGACTGGAGTAATGGCTGCTGAAAAAAATCAGCCTTTCCATCACAGTAATAAATTACATTTTAAAATATTTTGAAATAGAAAAGAGCTGTTTTGAATTGTAATAATAGTTCACATTTTTACTGTATTTTTGACAAAATAAATGCAGCACTGGTAAGCATGAGACTTCTGTTGAAAACATCTTTCCAACCCCAAAATTTGAACAGTAGTGTAGTTCTGTCTAATTAAAAATATACTATTTTACCCAGTTTTTGTATGTGCTATATATTTTTATGCTTTTATCACATCATTAGTTTAGCACTGAAATCGATCATTCATTCTGGTTCCCCATGAGCTTTGTGCAAAGAGCGCTATTTATATGCCTCACAGTTTCTGCCTACTGTATGTAGAGCATTCCATTTCAGTTAGGATGCTGCCTTTGTAGACAGCGAGGCAACTCACTAGCTTTTGGAACAGAGCTTTGTATATTTAATTACATTAAACATGTTGTATCTTTTAATTGAATTGAGCTGCAAGAGAGAGAGCAGAGGGAGAAATTGAAAAAAGGAAGCGAGCGCTGGTGTGAAATTATTCTGCTCTGTCATAGATTTGGGTAGCACAACAATGTAACAGCAGGGGTAATTTAAATGTTTCCTCTGAGAAACGATGCATGACTGTGTTTGCTGTTATGAGTTCCTTGTTTCATAATAGCAAAGAACTATATGCTATTCTCAGGTCGCTTCAAGCTTGCTGAAATTCGAGACCACATAACAAACAAAACATTGCCGCTGTCAACATTGTCAGAAGTCTGAATTAGTGTGTGTTTCAAATGTGTGAAGTGGCTATTGAGTTACTGAGTTGCAGTCTTTCATGGATTCTTAATGAAATCAGTGATAGACTTAAGCCATAACGGAAATGAAAATATTCAGGGAGATGTATCCACATATTCCTCTTCAATAAACAAAGACCAATTTTGAGCCGTTTTAGGTTCATGAATTTTGAATAGTATTTTAACTGCCGTATTTTAGTTAGAAATTAGTGAATGAATTTGAGTAAAAAAAAAAAAACTTTTCACTTGATTGACTGCACACAATATAATTTATTTACACTAAGTTAACTAGCTACACTGAAAAAAAGGATTTTTATAATATAAAAAAGTTTTATTAATTGCAAATTTATATTTTATACACATTTACATAAATGAATAGTTAGCTCCACTAATATATATATATATATATATATATATATATATACTGTATATATATATATATATAGATATATAGATATATATACTGTATATATGTATGAAGAGTTCATTTGCAAAAACCGATAACTTTATTGCGCATTCCAAGTAATATCAATCAAACTGCAGTTGGGTTGTTTTGATTAAGTAATAATAACTTAAACAAATACAGGTAATTTACTAAATTAAAGTTCATTGAAAGCATGTTTTTTTTTTTTTACATATTAAAAGTTTGTTTGATAACAAAAGCAGATCACTCCAACGGTCGTTTTTGGCAAAAGCAGATAACTCCACATTTCATGTTTTAGAGTTTAAAAAACACTCCTTTAATCTTCGTAATCTCCTCAGATGACAAAGTAAGATGCCTGACAATCGTTTTTGTGATCATAAACTGTATGGGTGAGATTACACGCAATACACGGAGCTTATCCCTCACCATTGTAAGGCGCTGCTTTTGCAAGGTTCCGTAAAAATGTTTCAGCTTTTATTTTCTTTTTTCGCCCTGAAGAAGATATCACAGGTTCATCAAGTTTGTCGAAATTATCCATCCTCGATCACTTTGTCAGCTTTGACAAAACTCCTCTCAGCTAGCACGTCGTTTCAAAGTGAAAGTAGCCTTGTCACCTGACCTGAATGCAGCACGCTAATTCAATAAAATTGACTTATCGGCTTCTGTTCAAAAACAACAAGGGCACATGTCAACTTCTGCAGTAAAACGTGAACTTGCGATGCCTTGATAGTGGGCAAAACATGTTTAGGGTTCAGATCGTGCTATATGTGGAGAATAATGCACGCCAATCAGCTCTTTTTTTAAGTGGCGTTTATTGGTTTTTGCAAATGAACTCTTCATATACTGTATATATATATAGGATATCAAGGCAACATTTTAGTTTATTTAAATGAACTAAAATAACTAAAACTGAAATGAAAAATAAATAGACATATAAAAATTATGATAAAATGACAATATCATTTTTTTTTTTTTTTGTAATTTAAATTAAAGCTTGGTAATGCCTTTTTCGATCAAGGTAGCTTGGTGTGAATTATGGTAATACCATGGTACTTCAAGTTACAAAAGAATACCATGTAAATAGTGTTATTTGAATCTGGTAATCATTCATTACTAGGGATGCACAGTAGGGATGCACATGCAGGGATACCAGTATCGGTATCGGGCCCGATACTGAGCTTCTGTACTCGTACTCGTACTCGTTAAAATGTGATAAGTGCCATATTCAGACAATGAAACACCAACAACAGACAGCAGAATGGAGTTATTAGAGATTAAGGATGTCTACGAAGTATATGTATGCAATGAATATAATGTTAAACATTCAGTATTAACACCTGTATAGCTGATGTGCGCGAGCTTGTCGAGTGAATATATCTTTCTCACAGACATCACTGGAAAGTTTGTGTTGTTCGGTCGGATACGTCAAAAACAAGTAAGTAAAACAATGCACAAGTTACTTAACGGTAGGGAGAGAGAGAGAGCACGCGCGCACTTCTGTTGTGTGATATTTGATGTTCACTCACACGCACACGCATCATTTGGATTAAAACTAAATCATAAAAATAAGACCATTTATAGGGGCATTCGCTATAAATGTCATTTATTTTTAACCTTAGGCATACACGACTTTCTGGCGAAAGTGAATCTAGCAGCCTGTGTGAAATGCGCTGGGCTGTACTACTGTCCTCTCATTCTGCATCAGTACAAATACGTGTGCGCATTGCGCGTGTTTTGCTTTCTTGAGTGTTTCTGCATTATATGAATAGCTTTGGAATATAAATCGCAGCACGTTTCAGATGAAAAAAAAACCACAACTTCTATTTCTGAAAATATCACAATTAGGAGATTTATAGCGAGTGGTTCCCTGCATTATTACAGCAAAGCGCGTGATTGTAGTATTAAGCCGCTGCAATAGAGCAGCTCTAATGCTATTAAATTAAAGATGATGTAGGCTACCATAGAGAGAGAAAAAGATTAACAGTGAAAGTAACAAAAACTTGTAAAATACATTTTAATGGGCATAATTAAGTGTGAAAATAACCAAAGGATATACAGTCAAACCAAAAATTATTCAGAGATCAGATATAATTTTTGATATTTTTTTTACTAGTGGGTGCAGGACACTATAGTTCATTTATGTAAGTGAGGATAGCAAAATAAAGTAAACTGTGACAAATTATAACCAAAATACAGTGGACTACCAGTAAAACTGATTTAAACAAAACAAATTTGGGACCAAAAATTATTCAGACCGAGTCTGGGAAAAAAAAATCGAAGTTGAGGTTTGCATGAAGCTGGATGACAGCATGCCCAGGAGACTACAGACTGTCATTGAGGCTAAAGGTTGCCTGAATAAGTATTCATAGTTGTGTAAATACTGTCATACTAACAGCTGTCTAATTTTTGATTGATTGTAATCCATTACATACCTTTCTATCAAAGTTATCTAACATTATCAAGCTGAATTTGTTCTGACTCCGTTTAACTCTGAGTTCTTGTTATATTTTATTACCATTTTCTAAACTATAGCGAATAAACTGTGATAATGGGAGAAATGTTGAAGGTGTCTAAATAAATTTAGGTTTGACTATCTATTTGATAAATAAAGTTAACCAACTAACATTGTAAATACTCTTTTGGTTTCTGTACCCAATATTTAAAAAATTTACAAATGCAATAAAAATATTGGTATCGGTACTCGGTATCGGCAAGTACCAAAAATAAAAGTATCGGTATCGGGCGAGTACTGAAAAAAGTGGTATCGGTGCATCCCTATTCATTACAACTATAATGTCATCATCACTGTAATGTTTGTATGGAAAACCAGCAGATTATAGTTTGTTTTCAAATTGAAAGTGTGTCAAGCTACATTCAACCATATGACAACAACCTTAAACTTTTCTTTTTATATTGTTTGTTTGTGAACAGGCAGAGCAGGATAACAGTCACCCTCTTCCTGCATACGCTAACCTGCAGATTGAAATTCTGGATGAGAACAATCAGGCGCCATATTTCCAGCGCTCCTCGTACCAGGGCTTCATCAGTGAGTCTGCCTCGGTTGGCACCACCATCTCAGGGATCACCAACCTCACGGCCCCACTGGGCATCATCGCACTTGACAACGACATAGAAGAGGTGAGATGTTCTCATGAAAAGTGCCAGGACATTTTCACAATGTTGCTGTCTTGAGAATGCAAAGATACATAAATCACGGATGGTTTAAGTCTCTCCATATGTTTTATATTGTAGCTGCTGCCAGGGGCCACACCAGTAGGTACCCGAGTGATGTGATGTGTGCCCTCTTTTGTTTTGTTTTCTTTTATTTTGTATTTATAATATAATGGTTTGACAAATGCAGTGTTCTTTCCTTTGATGCTGTGTTTCCTATTAATACAGGAAGCTGGACATGTAACTATATTGAATAGTTTTCCTTCAAAAGAGAGATTGTAAATTGTGTATACAAATGTTACCCAACGTTATCCTGGGTTGTGCATAGTGTAACTATGCAAAACATGAATTATTTAGATTTTAACGAGTCTTTAATTGTATAAAAAAATACGGTTACACTTTATTTTAAGGTGTCGTTGTTACAGTGTAATTATACATATAAGTACTGAGTAATATTATTTAACTACATGTAGTTATTATATGGTTAGGGTTAGGATTTGGGTTTGGCTTAGGGTTACTTGCATGTAATTATGCATAATTAATTGTTATTATAATAGTAAGTACATGTAACGTGTAAAACGGACACCTTAAAATAAATTGTTACCAAAAATACAATTAAAACTTGCTAGTAAAATTATACTCTTGACAAATTATTTGTGTGATAAAAATACTTTATTTATATAAGTGGAATCTTATTTCAAAAATGTATTTTAAAAAGCAAACAGTCAAACAAACAAACAATAAATACATAAATAAATAATATGTATATAATAATTTATAATTTTGTATGCATAAGCATATTTTATATGCATCTCTCTCTCTCTCTCTGTCTATGACTGAATTAATTAGTCATAGACTGAATAGATGAGATAAATCAATAGACAAACTAATGCAGGTGGTTTGCAGAAAAACAGCTTGTATTGACATATGATACATTTTAATGACACAGCAGTTCTGTCAGTTTAAAATGTGCATGAACTTCATTTTCTCTCTAGATTTATACATTACATTTTGACTTTTGAATTCTCTGGACTTTCAAACAAGCAGTTAAAGCTGTTGTATTTCTGTTGAGGCTCTTGCATATTAGAGTGAATAAGGTGGTCGAGTGACTCTGAGGATTGCGTGACTGCATGAGGTTTGTGTGGATGGTGTGTCATGCTCATATTAACGTGTAGTAATGCTGCATTTGACCTCTCATCATTGTTTGTTTTGTGAAGACAAAAGATCCTCAGCTGAAGATCACTCTGAATGACCACACCTCCATCTTCTCCATCACGTCTACTGGCATCACACGCTACCTTACTCTGCTGAAACCAGTGGACCGAGAAATACAGACCAACTACACCTTAACGGTACGTTGCACACACAAACATATATTACATTTCATCCCAAAATCAAAAGATTTTGTATAAAGGAAATAAAGCCTTTTTAGGGCCATTCAATTATTTTCATTGTAACATTATTTTTAGAGCCCGACTGATTTTTGGGGCCGATACCGATATTAGGGGGTTTAAAAAAGTCAGATACCGATATATTGGCCGATATTCTTTGTGTATATTATAGTACAGTACCAGTCAAAAGTTTGGACACTTTCCCATTCGTGTGTCCAAACATTTGACTGGTACTATATATAGAATACAGTATATGCATAAACAGAATATATATACATAAACACATTTTTTGATTTTTTGAAAGTTTATTCAACTTTAATTAAATTCAATTCCATTCAACTTTATTCCGTTGAAGTTTATTTCACTTCGGAACATTCATTCACGGATTTGCGCTACTGTCTCCACACACACACAGACGAAACTTACTAGAGAAGTGTGAAGTGTGACATAATATAATATAGGGGAGCGCAATGCACAAACGGGGGGGGTTAGTTGTAACACACGTGGTTTGAATATTTATTTTACCATAGTAACATTTAAATTCTGGCTTAAGTAAATTTTTTATCTCAGTTTTTATTATTCATTTAAAATGAGACAAATCTGCTATTATTTTAATCTCCAATCTGTTATTTATCAGTTCAGATCGTTTTTTAATGATTTTATTACTAGCAAAAGACACTAACCAGTTTTAAATTCCAGTTGCGCAGATGGGGCACGTTGTAACACTGCGTTACAATGTGCTATTCTATGACATTAGCGATGTAATTTACACTATTTTACTTTAATTAATTTTAACAAGAAACAGGTGAATAAAGACTGACAGTCAATGTTTAATGTTTAGAAATTATTATTTCAAGACATGTAAAGCATTTTTGCTCGTTTATGTGGGCCGTCCCAAGCATGGTTGCAATGTGTTCATTGTCAAACTCCAAAAGCAGATTATTTTTAATTCTTAAAAAATGCCATTATTTTATTTGAAAAAAAAAAAAATATATATATATATAGTTTGTCTTGTATATTTTTTTCATTCATCTCGCGATCTCCACCAAATTCGGGGGATCCCTTCAGCTCGAGGAGCCCTCCGGAATCGCCACGCCGTTACGGAGATATGGCCATTCAAAGTTTCAATGGTTTTCCATAGACTTAAGGTGGGCGTACACGGTGCGATTCTGAAGGTCGAAACGTCGTGAGCTCTGGCACATGTCACGATTGAGTTTATCCGAAAATCTTATGGAGGCAGTCACACATGACACAAATTTACTACGATTTTACAAACTCTGACGTAAGCATTACGTTTCGCGCCATTCATAAAAATATGGATTCTGAGGACGAAATAGTTTTCTTTGTGGCAGGCGGCTTGTGACGTACAAAAAAAAAAAAGACAAAGGACATGGCAAAGTGAATGGCTGAAAAGCAGAGAAAAGCATGGACTTTCTGTTCTTCATAAAGAACTCGAGGGAGTAGGCCATTTCTGAATTTCTGCTCGTTTTGCTGGAAATACAACAGGCAGGGTGCGAACTACGGGGGAGCTAGGCTCCCCTTAATAAAACATGGGCTCCCCTGAAAACGTGATTTGTGAAATTTTGGGGGGGTCTCAAAAAGTATTGACAATGTGTTATTTTGACGTGCAATTTCAGTTTTGTGTAATGTGATCATCGTAGATTATTATGTGTAAAATTGCAAAAATATCATTCATTCATGCATGACGACGATTTAAACCTAATTCACTTCAATAAAGATCACTATACATGCTATTCTTGCTGTTTGTTGTTTCACCGATCAATTTGTGTCGATAAAGTATATAATAGGGTAAATCCTGTATAGTGATTTATCCTATATAGAGCTTGCATAAAGTAGTGCATACACTTGTAGCTGTTATGTATCTTTGTAAGTCATTGTAAGCCTTCTTTTGAGGTACGCGCACGAGGCAGAAAGTTTGATGAGAAGCTGAAGAACGTAAAAAAAATCGTTGAGCTGTTTTGGCGGAAGTGACGAAAGCTTTGAATGCTTATATCTTCTAAATGCGAATTTTGTCACTGTTTTGGAGCACACTGCCTTATAGATAACCTTAAGACTAACATATTGATACTAACACCCAAAAAACTTTAATTTTGATTTCATGGGGAATTTAAGTTTGCTGCATTGTTAAAGAAAAATATTTTATACATATTTTTTAACTCGCGGGGTCGTGTCAATATGTGCAACCACACGTGCCTACAAAAATATTTCGCTGCGCAAGCACCTGCTTCACTTTCACTTAACTGAAGTAGTAAAGGTAACACAATGGCAAAAGGCAATATTGGATAAATGATTATCAGAGAGTGAATCTGTGAGTCAAATTCTGAATGGGTTATAGCCTAGAAAGCTTGCAAAGAGCGCTCCCCCTTATAATTATTAAAAAGCTGTCACTCATCTCAGTTCGTCGCGATCTCACAAAGTTCCTTTATATTCAGTGAAGCTCTACACTACTGCACAATTGATCTCTTATTTACGTTGTGTGTACATTTTGTTTGTTCTAATGAGAGGATTCGCGAGCGTGAGCAAAACTCCTGCTTTATGAGTGGTGAGTGGATCCTAACTTAAACGCCTCTGATTGGCCACTGTCATGAAATCAACAGATATGTATGTGATTGGCTACAGTGCTCAACACGGCAGAAACCGGTGTTTTCTGCAGTGGGACAGGCTATGGTCCACACTATGCCACACAGCGTCGACATCTTAATTTTTTAAAATAAAAACTAGACAAGTTGTGCACTGAGGTAGGCCTGCTATTTATTTTAATGTCTGATGAAAAAACATGCGGTACTTCAAAGTGCATAGAATGATTCAGTGTGTGTTTTCGTTTTGTCATCTTAATGTGTTAATTATTTAAGTGAAAAATATTTAGTATAGACCTATTTATTTTGTTATTTTTATTTATATTATTTTATTATGTTTTTCTTTGTTCTCAGAAGCACTGTTGTTGCTCTGTTCTGTATCCTACTGTTTGCACACGTTAAAATAAACCCGTGAAAAAATACATATTTTTGTAGGCTATTTGTAATGGGTCACAGACACTCATCCATTCTATTATTTATTTAATACTAATTTAATATTCTAATCTTATCAGTTAATGGTTAATGTTCAGATAATTAACTTAATTATAATGGTCTGGAAAATTAACCAAAATGAGCTTCCCTGGTTTAAATGCATTTGAATATATAAAGAAAAAAATATGTATTATATATATATATATATATATTCTTTTTCCTTTCTTTTTTTATTCTTTTCTGACTTTATATGTATAAAAATACAGTTAGCACTTGCTGGTAAAATCATCCATGATTATAAAGTGTTCATATGATAAACACATCAGATTTCTGAAAATTGGAAATTGTATTAATTACATTTATTACATTTTAATGTATTACATTTTGTTAATTTTTAATTCCCAAAAATCAATTGTAGCTATTAAATTAAGAATGCCTCATTTAAACACGCCCTCACATGCCTACGTCACTGTGTGGGAAGATTTGCATAACACCGCCCCCACTTTGTTTGGCCTTCCAAAAGAGGACGATATCCGCTTCGTCATGCCAAGAGCTGATCTGTGCTGGTCGCTGAGGAAATACATCAACTTCGCGCTGTGGATCGCCGGATCGACTTTCACCATGGACGAAGCAGAGTCCAGCCCAGGGTCGTCACATGTGGTTGCCGCAAGCTGTTCTCAAGCCCGTCGGCTGTTCCTCAATCTAGCCCGCCGGCCTCCACTCACTCTAGCCCGCCGTGTGTGATGCTGTGTGTTTCGTTGTGAAAGCGAAATTACTTTGTTTGGCCTTCCAAAAGAGGACACAACTAGAAATCAGTGGTTAAGTTGTATTTACAACACTGTTCCAGAACAGTTCAACCCAAATATTCAGATGTGTGCAGCACATTTTATGGAGGACTGTTTCCTGAACCTGCAGAGTAGCCTACATTGCGTCTGTGCACAAAGGCTGTTTCTATAAAGTGGGGCAGTTCCAACTTTGCAAGGACAGTCTGGCGCTTCTGACTCACAGCCTGTAAGTACTTTTTCATATTTAAAGAATTTGCCACTGATGATTCAAACGTGAGTTTTGAGCAGTGTAGAGTAGCGCTTGTTGTTTGTCGTTTCTCCGATCACGAATGCAGACATGGTTTTATGTTTATGCGGCGGGATATGCAACGCAACGTGTAAAAAGACAGTAAAAGTCATTATAATCAGTAGTTATGTCCCCACTGGATGCAACAAATGCCTCGTTTATAATGGGTTTTATTGGTTTTGTCTCGTCGCTCCGGGACACGGCATCACATTATGGTAAGGGGCGTAACATTTCCGTCTCACACTTGAGGTATTCGGCCAATCACAATGCACTGGATAGCTGGCCAATCAGCATTTACAGCATTACGCTTTACAGACCGATGAGCTTTGTAAAAATCGATGTGTTTCACAAAGGAGGGGCAGAGAGGAGCAACAATAATGTATATTATGTTGAAAATAATGTATTTTTTTAACCTTAAACCGCATAAACACATTGCATTATACCAAATACACAACACAATGTTCTATTTAGCAACGTCATATGACCCCTTTAACAAAAGGCAATGTTCTTACTTTAAGATGAATATTTCTGTCTTGAACATCAAGTCTCAGCATGACAACTATTCGCTGTGATGTACAAAACAAAGCAATTGAAACGATGCTGTTTGTTCAGTATATGAAGTGTCTCTTCGGGACTCTGTCCATCGATTGGTTCAATTGATCTGAGATTTGGGCTCAAGTGTCTCTGATCTTTCTAGAATCCCTCATCTCCAAGGAGCAGTTAAAAAGACAGCTGGATCACAGGAGGAACATTTGAGCGCAGTGTTTTGATCATTGTTTAATCTGAGAGGTGGAGTTTGTTCATTTTGGACTATTTCAATTGGGGGTGTCTCATTTGGGATGGTGTCATCAAGGATGACAG